AAATATATGGATCATATAGTTCCGAAATTTTAATGAATTTAAAATTGTGCAAAATAATAACCACATTTCTTATATTTCTTCATGTAGATAAAAATCATAGTGAAAATGTTATGAAATGCAAATTGTGAGCGTAACACTTTTGCGTTCTAATGATAAACTAGTGCAGTATTTGTCACGTTAATTTAGTGTTCTAATGACAAATTAGTGCATTACCCATCACATTAATTTAGTGTTCTAATGACTAACTAGTGCATTATTCATCACATTAATTAAGTGTTCTAATGACTAACTAGTGCATTATTCATTACATTATTTTAGTGTACTAATGACAAACTAATGCATTATCCATTACATTAATTTACTGTTCTAATGACGCAATTGCAATGATCTGCCTGAAACGTTATGCGTGTTAGTGGCTTTATAAGAATGTAAGAACACCAATGTTACCTACTCTCATGAACCTATTGTACATTCTTGTATATTAATTTTTCATCAAGGCAAATGGGGACATATACAAATATATATATATATATATATATATTTGTATATATATATATATTGTATATATATATATATATATATATATATATATATATATATATATATATATATATATATATATCTATATATCTATCTGTATATGATGTATGCTGTATATATATAATATATATAACTGAGGCGGCCTGGTCGAGGACCGGGCTGCGGGGATGCTAAGCCCCAAAACCATCTCAAGGTACTGTAACCTCAACTGGAAAATTAGTAATTAGTATAAACATTTACGTATTGCTGATCAATACACTTTGAACAAGAAAATTGACACCTTTTTCTGAATGCAAAGGTGTTAAGTTGTTTTGCTGATAACTCTCTGTATCAAAATTACTGTTCAGTTGGGTACTGAGAAAACTAAAAATAATAAGACAAAGATCGTGTCTCATACATGGTGAGTGGAGTGTATTTAGAAAGGTAATACTGCAGTGGATGACAGACAAGCTTAGATTAGTGATTATTACTCTTCCATCCATTTTCAATATTAACCTGGAATACTCTTATGATTACTGAGAAGCTTCTTTGGCACAAGTTAATGGCAATGTATTTATATACTATGACTCAATATATAACAATCTAGGACACTATGTCCATAAAACTGTACAAGAATAATTACTCGGTATAAAAACACAGTAGATGATATTTTCTGTGTTTCCCCAATTGTCTGACACTTTGTATAAATGAGAAAAGGACATGATCCTTGACACCTTGTGACTTCAACACTTTTCCTTACCTTAAAATATTTTTACCGAGATGGCTTATACACAAGACAAAATTATATTTCTATTACTCTGCACTGTATCTGCCGGTTTGTACATGACTCCCAAGCTTTCAATAATTTTTTTTGCAAAGTTTACCAACACTGTAGGCAGGGAGACAGGTTAAGTTGCTCCCAGTACTTCAGTCAGTGAACACCTTTTCTTCAGTACTACCAATGATCTCAACAAGAAACATGCTTTTACATATTTCTGTGGTTATAGAGAACATCACCGAATATAACTTACAGCAATGTTACCCTTTATCTACAACAAAATCTCAGAATATCATCCTAGACCTGAACTGTTGCTTCACTCAAGTAATATATTTAAAGTGAAACATTCTTGCTACTATAATTATCATTCACCAACACCTTGGTGAACTAAAGCTAACTAGTCTTCAGAGTTGTAAAATGTAATAACGACAGTATGAAGGTTTGTAATACAATTTGCACACCACATGCTGTGTAAGTAGTTCTGATACATTAATAAATTGTATTGTGTTATATGCAACCAGTTTAAGAAATCCAATCTTTTACACAATGAACAGGTAGAGTTCTCTCAAACACTGCCAGAGTGAACAGGTAGAGTTCTCTCAAACACTGCCAGAGTGAACAGGTAGAGTTCTCTCAAACACTGCCAGAGTGAACAGGTAGAGTTCTCTCAAACACTGCCAGAGTGCACAGGTAGAGTTCTCTCAAACACTGCCAGAGTGAACAGGTAGAGTTCTCTCAAACACTGCCAGAGTGAACAGGTAGAGTTCTCTCAAACACTGCCAGAGTGCACAGGTAGAGTTCTCTCAAACACTGCCAGAGTGAACAGGTAGAGTTCTCTCAAACACTGCCAGAGTGCACAGGTAGAGTTCTCTCAAACACTGCCAGAGTGCACAGGTAGAGTTCTCTCAAACACTGCCAGAGTGCACAGGTAGAGTTCTCTCAAACACTGCCAGAGTGCACAGGTAGAGTTCTTTCAAACACTGCCAGAGTGAACAGGTAGAGTTCTCTCAAACACTGCCAGAGTGCACAGGTAGAGTTCTCTCAAACACTGCCAGAGTGCACAGGTAGAGTTCTCTCAAACACTGCCAGAGTGAACAGGTAGAGTTCTCTCAAACACTGCCAGAGTGCACAGGTAGAGTTCTCTCAAACATTGTCTGAATGAGCAAGTAGAGTTCTCTTGCAGATGGTACAAAGGTACAGAAAAAAATTTAGTATAGATATTAATAATCTTTGCTAAATATTTGAAATAAAGATATGTTTACAGAATGTGATTCATAGTACAATATAATTTACAGTCATTAATAGTGAAAAGTTGTGGTTTCTTAATTATACAGAGAATATGAAAATTGCATATCTTACCAGTCTATTTTTCTTACAATGCAAGTTTTAATTTTAAATGTGAAATAAATATTTTTATCAGCATGGTAAACCTAAAAAAAAATTTCACTGTTAATTTCAGTGTTTACTGTCAAGTAATAAGATTGGCATAGCAGGTTTGAATATTTCAGAGATGACAATAAACTAACGATTTTGTGTGAAGGTGGTTGTAAAATGTGTCGTAAACTGTATATCAGGTTTGAGGGTTAACAAAATTTATTAATATACTTAAGCCCTCATCATGAAGAAAGCTCTCTCAGTAAAATGTCAATATTTTTTAGATACACAAGTGCAAGGCAGAATATTCAAGATATTTGTGCATATAGTATATATATGTGGTTTATGTTATAAAACTAATATATTCCTAAGGGAAGTTTTAAAAAGCTAATAATATCATTTATAACCTGGACTTGTTTGTGCAATGCTGTAAACCTTAACAAAAAAGTGCCATTTATATAGTTCCCCTATGAGAATTTTTTTTACTGTAAAGTTTAATAGAGGAAAGAAAGTCTGTTTACAATTGTTTAAAATGCATAATTATAAAGGTATCTTATTTAGTCTTGTATTTGCAAACTATTTATATTTATATTTTTGCTTTCAAAGGCTATTCCATTTTAGAACTGTGTTGGTGAAGTAGAAGTAATGAATTCACAAGCAATGTCACAGATGTGTCATCTCATCCCGATCAGGTGGGGAGTGTCTGGTGGCACCGAGACAATCAGCGAGGGACGCAGCACGTGACCGCCGCCTAGCGTGCTGAGGTTCTCCTGCTAAGCTGGAGTCAGATGCAGCAGGATGGAGGGAACGTGGTGCCAAAAGGCTTTCTGTGCTCTTAGGCTTGGAGAAGAGGCAGGTGTGAAGAGGTGCTGGGTCAAGATTTAAGCAATCACAGGAGAAGCAGGAGCCGTCAAGAGGTGATACAAGATTTTCTGAGGAGCGTGGTGCAGGTCGCACTCCTCCCCCACCCCCCACCATGTTTTCTTTATCATCTTCCCTGAGTCGGTGAGTACTATATGAAAGCATCTTGTCACCCCTGCCAGCTCCACGAGGTGGAATTGTATCAATAAATCCATATCCAAACCCATAACCACCAAATCCTCGTGTGGAAAGCAAATTATCCCATGAACGAGGTTTGCACTGCTGCCATTGCTGCTGAGCAACACTCTGTGCTGAACCTGTTGGAGTGTGAGCAATTTGGGCTGGAGAACTGCACTCCGACGATACTTTCGGCCGTCGTACAGCCCCAGGGGAACAGTTGAGTTGGAGATACTGTTGGTGTTGGTGGTGGTGTCGGTGGTGGTGAAGAGGTGAAGGGGCATGAGACTGAGAATTGTTGGAGGACATGGTACTCCAGTGCTCCTGTGGAGGCCTTACAGGGTTCTGAGCACTACAAGGGCTGGCAGGGGGTATGCGGTACTGGAGGGGTGGGGGCAGCACCCTAGAGGAGGTGGGCAGGGGGGATGAGGTGGTGCTGGAGGCAGGAAGCAGTTGCCGGTGGTGGTGATGGTGGTGCTGGTGGTGGTGATGGTGATGGTACAGGTGCTGGGGCTGGCGGCCGGACACCGGGTGCTGAGGGATGCGGAAACCCTGGGCCCGCCATGCTGAGGAAGAAACCACCATACCAGGCAATGAAGCGTCAATCTGAGTTGAAGGATGTGGTGCTGGGTAGCACTGAAATAAACTGCTGCCATACTGACCAATCCTGCTATCACACTGCCACAGGAATAGCAGTTCAACCCATTACCAATGAAAATGGAATATAGCACAAGTGCAGGTGTGAAACAAGCAATGGTATGATGGCATCAACCGTTCTCAGTTCTAACTTTTAACATGCTCAGGAAAACTTCTTTATCAGAAAATGTTTTATTGACCCACTTAGAAGACATCATATCAATATAAATGATTGACAGAATTCCTGAGCACATAATAAAAGCAAATATCATGTATCATAGTATGTCCAAGCTTAGGGAGTGCACTATTTTATTTACAGTGAAAGGTACAAATGTATTGATAATAGGCATTATGAGTATTTGAAAACTTTAAATTAGAGACAATAATGGAATAGCTTAAATCATTGTGCTTCATGCTAGAGCTACAATATAAGGTAATCTATAATAATCCATATGATAAAACATGCTTGAAACATTAACATGCCAGACATAGGTTAAGTAAATCATACAAACTAACAGGAACTTTTGTTTGTATTAACAAACTGTTGTTGCATTGGACTGTGCTAGGAATTAGGGAACAATTTAAAACATATAGAAACATTAAAATCGTTAAAGAATAAAGCTGAAATTCAAATGCTGAAATGAAAACATCTATAAATCTGCTCAAACAATATTGGTACGATATGCAGATAAGGAATCAGCCAGAGCTCCAACTGTTCGACTCACATCCCCAGCCTGAAACCATTCACCATTGGAGGAGCCATGGGGAGAGGTTATGGCTCTAGGAGGTATGCCCTGCCAGGAAGGTGGATATGATGAGGCTGGTGGGGTAAAGGCATTCCTGTCCCCTACTAATGGTGTTTCATCATTTGTTCGAGAGCCTTGAGACTTTCTTCTGCGTGATGCTTGACTTCTTCTAGGGCGTGGAGCAGCATCAAGATCAACAGATGCTTCATCGTCTGATAAAATACCATGATCCTCCCGAGGTACTAAACATTGTCGAGGCAGAGGTGTTCCATACACAGATGATTCACTAGATACTTCTGAATATAAGCTGTCATAATTAGTAGGAGTACGCCCATCATTTGGACGCTCCTCTAGAGAGTTATCAGATGACCAACGAGCTTCCAAAGAATCTGATCTCACTCTGGGTTCCTGTAGAGGAGGCGCAAAACGATACACATCAGCTGCAGAGTTTGGCTTATCACGTGCTGGGGTTACGAGTGAATCAGTACAAAGAGAACGTGATCGTGCCGACACCACTGTTCTACCTGAATGATCTGTTGTTGAACTTATACGATCACAGCTCCCCGTCCATGAATATAACGAATCTGGACGGCTCTTTCGACCCTGCTGTTGCTGCTCATACTTAATAGGATGGTGTGCAGAGTCTGGTTGCCATGATTTTTGCTTTGGCAACGACTTGAATGACCCTTTTCGTTGATTTTGCAAGACTCTTGATTCCTCACTCTTCTTAATTCCTGTTGTACTGCTTCTCCCCTCCACCTCCCTCCCACTATCCTTATTGCCCCCTTCCCTACGGGATATACCTGTACCCTTCCATTTATTTTTTTCTGCAAGATTACTATTCCATTCAGGCTTCCTGCTGAACATTTCATTAACAGATTGGTTTTGTCTGTCTTCCCTTCCTGATCTTCTCCATGCAGCTGGGCTGCTACTGATACCACAATTCTCCTTGGCTACTGTATCATCCTTGACAAAGCTACCAATGCGGCTCATTATGAGGGAATTTGACCCGTCTGCCACATCCTGCCTATTTTCAAGGCTACTTGATTTAATATGGATCCTGTTTGTTGGACGTGGTTTAACACTGTGAGTACAAGACCCTTTTATGCATTCTCTTGTGATGAAAGAGTTAGTCAAAGACTGAGATGATAGGCGAAGTGATTCAGAACGAATGATTGAAGGAGCTTTCTTTTGTGGGGCCTCTCTGATTTTCTCAAAGGAGCCATCACAAAGAGAAGTACATGATCTCTGTCTATGAGTTGATCTACTAGATTCACGAGAAGTACTTGCTGAAGCCCCTTTTTTCGGTCTAGATAGACTCCAATGCCTTTCCCCTGAGTTCTGCCTGGGTCTGCGGGGTGCATGGAATGAGCCACCACGTACAATGAGGGGAGAGTTCTCTGTGGGTGAAGTTGTAAGTCTGCCCGATGAGTAAGGTAATGACAAAAATTTATGTAAATGTAACTCAGATGGTCTTACATGGGAGGATACTTCAGAACTTGAGTCCCGGTTGTCTTCTAATCCATATTCAATTTTTTGCCCATCGTCAGATCCAGATATACTAGTTAACTTATCTTCATCTAGGGAGTTTGATTTTACCCGGTGGGATGAGCCTGACTCTCTTTTTTTTTTACCTTTAGAATTCCTACGATGTGGTAAACTGGAAGTAGAGTAATTAAACATGGATGAATGTTTAGGACCGTGTGAATGTTTTGGACTGTGGTCATATACTTCTAAACCACTGAGACTCATCTTTTCAAAGGGAGATTTTGGTTCTTCTTCATTCTTAGTTTCATGAGTAACTGATGTTTTAAATTCTTTAATTACAGAATCATATGCAAGACATTGGTCACTTGGCATACATGATATTGAATATGCTTTGCTCATTTTAAAAGGGGGTTTAATTTTCCTACTTGCTTCTTCGGTTGTTGGGGAATTTTTCTTTACAAGTTCAGGTCTACCACTTCTGCTGTTTTGTCTACTTAACTGTTTGAAACTATCTTTCCTACTAAAACTTCCTCTTCTTGGGCCACTGCTTTTAGATTTAGCCAAGAGATTTCCATCTTGTGACACTGAATCAGTTCGATAACAAGGAATATCTAAAGCTGCCTGATTTTTTCGGTATTTGCTTATTTCTCCCTCATGCCAGCTATCTTTATCCCTAGGATATCTCCAAGCCTCAGCACTAAGAGCTCGGCGGTGACTATGGTAATTCTTACCTTCTTTATCCTCTATAATTTTCCTATTACCCCCAACTTCCTTATTTCCTAAGGCTTGCTGTCTCCTTTCAGGGCCAAACATAGGAGAATGGTTTGCAACACACATTGGATCACCACAACCACTAGAAGGTGGCACATACATGGGTCCTCCTGTGCATGGCAAGCTATGATAATCACTAGAAGTATTTGCATAAAGTCTATCTGAGCCCCATGGAATCCTACAACTAGCAACCTGACTATGTATAAAATGAGGATTAATGCTATCAGAGTAGGTACTTGTGTTCCAGCTCATGTAGCTGTATATACTATTTTCTTTATGGTAAACAGAATCTGTGGGAGAAGCTACTGTGCAAGATGGTGATGAAATTTTATCTACATTTCTAATTTCACTGTGAGCCTTGACAACAACAGTCTGACTTTTGTTGTCTGGTACTTGCGGCAAGGACATGCCACTCATTCGTCGGCAATATCTCCTTCCAGTGTCTTCTGAAATGGAGTCATCCTCCTTGTAGGTGAGACTGGTTGTATGGTGTGTGTGGCCATGCATGGAGACACCAGTTGAGTGCTTGCAACTGTGAGGGACACTTTGGTGGTGCCGGTGAACTGCGGTGGAGTGGGGGTGTTGGTGGGCAGCAGCAGTCTGGGTAAGAAGGGTAGAGGTGGAAGTGGAGGTGGAGAGAGAAACTGGGATGAGGCAGGTGAGGTCCCGGGGGGGCGGGAGAAGCCTGCGTTGTGCCCTCAGCCAATCCATCAAGCGGGCGTGAGCGATGTTGAAGGCGTGACGCACTGGGGAGGTTGCCAACTTACCAGCCAGCAGTGATTTCTCCTGATGACACAAGCGTTCCAAGTCAGTCATCTTCTCTTGAAGGAGACGCTGCAGCTGGATGTACCTCATGTGTAGTTCCACCTGGTTATACAATCAAATTAAGTGAAAAAATACAACTATAACAATGGCTTGTTTTAATTCTAAATTGGGCTGCATATTATAAGCAAGACAAAATTAATTGCTAATTTATACTAGAAACACTTTTTTCACATTTGTTTGTTACTATCATTATAACTCAACATAATTCAACAATCAGAACAAAAACAAACTCCAATCCCAGACATCTCTCAGCACCCTTACTGCACTCCTTGAATATGTAAAACAAAGTCTCTTCACACACTCAAGTGTATTCTTTATCTATAAAACTCTGAATTGCAATGCTCAGCCTGATGTTAGATGCTTCCTTCTGGGCTGTAAGAGAACCCATGGACACTGCATGAGAAACATACAGTATGTCTATTAGATATTTCTAGAGTGAGACTCGACCAAAGCAAAAATGCTATGTAATTATGGGTCCCAGATTAAGGCATAACCTCTCAAATGAGATTAAATGTTGTACTGTACTTCTCTCAGTCAGTTTAAATGAGAAATTAAGAAATATCTAATTAACATCATGTACCAAATTTCACTCATTTTATTCATCCTAAGAAAGACCTTTTGTATTTTGCTGTTATTGTATCTTTTAAGTACCAAATACAGCAGTTATCATTAAGTATCACCTTTCATCATTAAGTATCATCTAAATATTGTATAAATATATATAAGTTGGTAATTTCTTTAATAATCCATATATGTTAGTTTAATTCTTGCTTACTATTAAGTGTTGTCTTCAAGCCTATCAATAATATAACAATTATTTTAAGTTATGCCCATAATGCTTTACAAATTTGTGACATTATTAAATATATATTTTACGTAACAATTATTCAACTGTTGTAAAGCTGGCGAAAAAAAACATTAGAACCATAAACCATTCTCTTTTTGCAGAGTGGTTAATGGTTGGAACAAGTTATGTGAGAAGTGGTGGTGGTGTCAAAACTGTAAGTACTGTTGTTTCAATGTGTTTTATGGCAGAGAGTACCGAGAAGACAGGGGACACCACCAGCATAGCTCTTATTCTGTAGCTACACTTCGGTAATTACCATGATCTCTATACTGTATATTTAAAATATAAATTAGTGAGAAAATCAGTAGGAGTCAAGAGAAGGATACTGTACACTGGGTGCTGTACTCTCAAGTACAGAAAGTACCTTAACCTTTCCACTGTGCAATATATACTGTACAGTATACAGTATATGACTTTCACACTGCAGTCAGTTAAGCCAAAATCATATTCTGCATGTATAATTATTATACTGTATATACATAATATGATTTTGACTTAACTGACTGCAGTGCAAAAGTCATATACTGTACCTGTACTGTATACTGTTCAGTATATGATTTAGATTTCCGTATAAGATTTAAGATTCCTGTACATACACAGGGCTCACATTTGCTTCCTCAGGGCCTCCCGTAACCATCCCCCAATCCTGAAAAAATATCCCGAGTCCCTCATTTTTCCTTGTAGGGCCTTAGTAAAAAGAATAGAACCATGTCTGGCACATCAACATCCAGTGTCTGGATGTGCAGGGCGGCCATAATGGGAACTACTGAACTACTGAACAACAGCAAATGACTAATTAACATGTGTATAATTACAGGCAAAATGTGTAATATGTGCAATTATACAACTAGGCATATATTATATATTATATATATATATATATATATATATATATATATACATACACACACAGACAGTATAGTATTGGCCTAACAATTCCAATTTCAGCCACATGTGGTGCTCTATACTGTATCAAAAGCAGCAAAGAACTTCTTAAGAGCTCTCACGATCAGTTATTACCTGCCAGAAAGGCCGGTTACTCAGACATTGAGGTAACAGTTATGAGAACTTCAGGAACCTGGTCTAGTGAGACCCTTCTCTCTGAACAAATGAGGGTAATTATGACCATCCAACATTCTAGCAGAATAATTGGCTAAGAGAACTACTACCACCAAACCCAGAGAAGATAGGGGAAGGAATAATGGGAACTGGAGCAAAAGGATATACTGCTCCGAGTAATACTTTTTATATAAACTCAAGGTTCCCTACAGTGCCAGCAGAAGCCACTCTAAGTACAATACAACAAGGGTAAGGCTCACCTGAGCTGCTGAGTGGAGAAAACAGAAGCAGCAGGAGGAACAGCAACCGTACCCCCAAGCACCTTACCCTGCCAGAGAAGAGGGTCACCATGAGGAAAGTCTGCCTAAGACTACACAAAGGTGGGGATGTGCTAGGTGACAAGCATATGAGCAGACATTCAAAACTTCCCAAGCAGAGATGTCAGCACAGGACACTGCCCAGAAGAATGTGGTGAACAACTGGAAGAAAAAAGACCCCTGAAGAAGTTCAAGGCTGACAATACTGGGCCACTTCAAAAAGTAACTGAGAAAGTAGAGCCTTAGTGCATGCTACCCCTAGCAAAAGATTTAAAAACATAAAATACCTCTGAATACAGGAAACATGGTTAATGAACATCACTGCCACCTGCTTCCCAAACACTTCATGTGAAGGTTGTTGGAGAATGAAAGGGTAAGCAAACACAGCTGGTCTACTGTGTTATACAGTATATCTTACCTTGCACTCATTACACTGTTATACTCATCTATCTGTGTCTCACTTATGGTATCTGTGCCTGGGGTTATACAAACAATAAATACACACCCCAATACAAACCATATATGCACTTCCTCACATACAGACATGACTGATGAACCTGATAAGTTCTACAACAAGGTTACCAAGACGTAGCTAGGGAGGCAAAGGATGCTAAATTGCCAAAATGCATTTGAGACTTTCCCCATAAAAAAGCTGATGCACACCTTGTAAAAACAGGCTGGGATAACTTGAAAAATACTGGACTGGATTAGAGAGTATGTGGCAAACAGAAAACAGAGGCTTATGATGAGAGTGAAGATGTCAGGTCGGAAGTGTTGGTTCTTATTGCTGTCACCAATGGCGGCTACTTATTATTCACCACATACTCAGCCTGTTAGAAGTACTGTAGTGTAAAATGTTTATGATTGGCACAAAAGATACAAGTAAATATCTGACACTGGATTTTACAATTTATCTGTACACATTGTATTTACTTACAATGCTAGCCAGTAACAAAACACTGCTTGCCCTTTAACTACAGTACTATGTATGACAATATAATATTACACATTGGAGGTAAGTTAATTTGGTAGTGCAGTACTTAACATAATTTTCAACATTGTATATTTACTTGGATCGCTATTCTTCCAGATTTATGTAAAAATCTGTAGGATAGCTGCTGATATTCGCCATGTATGAACGTGAAGACAATTGTAATCTTCTGTTTAGTTAAAATTACTTCTGCTGTTCTGTTTCAATTTCTGCTGTTCCAACCATCATGTAGTTATTACCATTCTTTTTTCTTTTTTTCCCTCTTTCAACTCAATTTATGCTTTTGATCTCAATTAGTTTTAAGTTTTAGTCTTAGTGTTTTCCCACATCTTGCCCGAAATGCTCTGTGTATTAGTGGCTTTAGGCATAGTATGTACTAGCTATATCTAAAAATCCAACATTCTGTTTGTAACTCATTTTGAATGTATGTACTTTTACCTGACTAAACATTATTATTATTATTACTGTATTATTGTTAGTATACGATGAGTTAGGACCAAATAGATAATGTTTGGATAGGATGAAAGCTGTTGAGAAGGATAAATACTGAAAAGGACTCCAGTATACTACATTAGGATAATAACAGCCTGCAGAAATGCAGAGAAATGGCTACCGGAGTTTGATTCTTAAAATATAAAGTAATGAGGTTTCGGAGAGGGAAGAGGAGAGACTAAGCTATAAGGAAGACAGCTGCAAGAAAAAAGGAGAAGGATCTGAGAGTTGACACCAACCTTTACACTAGACGTGTTAACAGAACATCAACAGTAATGTATATGCAAAATTAGTAAACAAATTGGGTGTGTTGACAGGTGTTGACGGATTGTATTATAAGTCAAAGAGTACTTAATGGATGAGCTGTTCCTCAGACAGCCTTCATGATTTGACCTTACATGATCCCCTGACCCAAGTGTGGCAATGAGCTTACTTAAGTATGAGATCTCACTCATTGCCTGCAATCTGCTGGATAAACAATCTGGCCCGCATATCTACTGCAAAGCAGACAATAAAAGACATTATCACTCTGAAAGCGTTCTGCACAGAATGCCGAGAATTATCCAAGAACAACGTCGACTCTCATGCTAGGAGACTGATGGCCACAGGACCGAACTAACAACTTTGCATGTAAGACATGACAGGTCTGATCTTACTGAGACTTTAAATACTGAACATTTTAGTGATAAATCCAGACCACTTCTTTACACAGTCCAACATTACATGATGAATTAGACACTGTTTCAACCTTATCAAGCCTCAATGTAGGATAGATAATAGGGGGACCAAAGATGAAAAACCCATGTAACCAACTACCAACAAAAGCCATATATGCAAGAATAGTGCTGCAGTCCAAAAAAAAATGCTTAAAAACTCATCAAGAAGAATGGAGGGATTATCCTCAAGCCACTGGCTTCCCGTCCTTGCCACACCCACACAATACTGTAGTGGCCATCAGGTAAATTAGGCAAACTCATAATACATAGCACAATCAGATTTAACATGTTAAAATTATTATTTTAATTCACTTGGTCAATGTAGAGCACATACCTTGTGCACACAGTCTTCAAAGAGCACTACCATGCGCATCCTGTCACCACACCCCTGGATGAAGTTGACCAAAGCTTTATGATCAGCTTTTTCCATATCATGGCCATTAATAGACAGAATTACATCTCCTGTGGATATTTATACTATGTAAAGTTATATTATACTATGTAACACAGTAAAGTTATTAAAAGAAAATACATTTATCATACATAAAATTTAATAAAGAAATAACATTAATTCAAATGCAGTTTGAAAACCATAAATTTTAAAGGACTTACAATGGAATCTCGACTTAGGAATACCCCTACTTATGAATTTTTCGAGTTACAACCCCAATTTTGTCGGAAAATCCGACTCGACTTACAGTCTTTGCCTTGACTTGCAACTTTGTTGATACACGTATGGGTCGACCGAGCGTGTGGTGCACTTCAGTTTACCAGTGTCTCTCTCCTAGTGATGATCGTGCTTGAATTCTTTGTAACGAATTTCATTGTTTTTCCGTTTTTTTGGTTTTGAACATAAAAGTAATTATTATATATCAAGTCATGGGTCCCAAGAAAGTTAGTGGTAAGGTCCAACCTAAGAAAATAGATGTGAGCAGAGGCAGTATAGAGGATGTCCCTTCCTCATTAAGAAAATGTGTGAAGTATGGGAAGAACTGCAAAGTTTTATTGAAAAAACTCGCCTAGATAAAGCTGTAGCAGGCCATTTCATTCACCTTTTGAATGATGATGTGATGTCTCACTACAGACTAGTGTTAAAATTTAAGGAAAAACAAGGGTCTTTAGACTGATATTTAGTAAGCCAAGCAAGCACTGAACCACAACTCGGTCCTAGTGATATGATTGCAAAACGTAGGAGAGAGAGTACCCCAGAGAAGTCATCACTGCCTGATGTTATAATGGAAGGGGGACTTCCCTTCCAAAAAGTAACACCTCTCCTCCTCACCATCTTCCATACGCCAACAAGAGTCATCAATAAAGGTAAGCTATAACTTGTACATACTATAGTACAAAATATGTATGTATTATGTATGAAATGTATTTGAAGTTAATAAACAAATCCACAAGGGCCGTGACGAGGATTCGCACCTGCGTCCGGGAGCTTCCCAGACACTGCCTTAATCGACTGAGCTACGACAGGGTAAAAGGGTTGAAACCGAAGTTCTACTGAACTTCGGTTTCAACCCTTTTACCCTGTCGTAGCTCAGTCGATTAAGGCAGTGTCTGGGATGCTCCCGGACACAGGTTCGAATCCTCGTCACGGCCCTTGTGGATTTGTTCATTTGATGCATCACGTTAGTGTGATCTCTGTGTGTGTTGAAGTTAATATTTTTGGGAGTGTGGAACGGATTAATTCAATTTACATTATTTCTTATGGGAAAATTTATTTCGAGTTACGAATTTTTGAGTTACAACCCGTCTCTGGGAACGGATTAAATTCGTAAATGGAGGTACCACTGTAGTTCCTAATGTGAGAATATTTTTGTTGACCTTGGAGGACTGAGGTGCTCCATACCTTCTCTCATGCCAGCCCTGAAGGCAGGTCCAGAATATTCAACGAAGTCCACATACGTAATAACTTCTATCTCACCATCCTTCTTGTAATGAATCCCATAGCTCTGCGGATAAGAAGCAGAATTTGACTTTGAAGTTAACAAACTGCATAATAGGTCCTATAGCTTTCCTGGACTGGGCAGAGTTACTATCTGGCTATGAAAGACATCTATGTTACACACCTAGTCTTCCTAATAATGTGTACTGTAGTGTCAAGGAAATCTGGCCTTGATAGAGATCTAGTTAGTAGTTAGTAACAGTTGACTGACAGTTGAGAGGTGGGCCAAAAGAGCAGAGCTCAACCCATGCAAGCACAACTAGGTGAATATAAATAAACATGACTAGATATTTACTCTACCCTATTATTCAGTATGACAATTTACAGTCATCCACATTGTAAACCAAACCACAATCTCTTACATAACAAAATGCTCCTCTTATTTATATAATTATTTCTGTAAATAGAAATGTCTGTCAGACTGAGGTTGGAGGCCAGACACTTAGGGCAAGATTCACCAAATTTTTCACAGTAATTGCAGTTGGGTATATGCCCAATATGGGCAAGTCGGGTTTGGCATGAAACAAAAAAAGGAGTACCATGTGATACTATGCCAAACGTGTTCCCACGAAAAACCTTGCAATACCATTATCAATGAACTCTGAATTATTATTTTTAGATTTTCCACCATGTTTAAACTTTGTGCTGATTATGCCAGAATTGTATCAATATTTCTACTGATACATTTGCCATAATAACCAAATCTATATATTTGAGGCATCATAAAATATCTAGCCCACACAACACTGGAAGACACACTACCATGCCACCTACTCTCTAACTCTACACTACATGTCTCAGACATGTAATATAGTAAATATAGTAGTTCTCTGCCTCCACATCTGCTCCCTATACCAACAACACACCACTCCCCACCCCCATCCCATGAGAGAGAGAGAGAGAGAGAGAGAGAGAGAGAGAGAGAGAGAGGGGGGGGGGGGGGGGGGAGGGAGAGAGGGAGTAGAAGAGAGGGAAGAGGGAAGAGATGGAGGAGGAGAGAGAAAAGAGAGGGAGGTGGAGAAAGAGAGAGAAGAGAGGGAGTAGGAGAGAGAGAGAAAAGAGAGGGAATAGGAGAGAGAGAGAAAAGAGAGGGAGGAGGGGGAGAGAGAGAGAGAAAAGAGAGGGAGGAGGGGGAGAGAGAGAGAGAGAGAAAAGAGAGGGAGGAGGGGGAGAGAGAGAGAGAGAGAGAGAGGGAGGGAGGAGGGGGGGGGGAGAGAGAGAAAAGAGAGGGAGGAGGGGGAGAGAGAGAGAGAAAAGAGAGGGAGGAGGGGAAGAGAGAGAGAGCTGTATCTGTATGACACACACTTTCTCAATCACTGTAATGAAAAGGTTGCACCCAGAATGCTAATCTCTCATCTGAACGTATGTTGTGTATGTCAATATTTGAATACACCAAAATCATTAAGATCTATAGGTCAGGACAATATATACCCACCAACTTCGTGAAGGGGGTGCATTGAGGCTGACCTCATTTTAAAGTGGGCATAAGGGCCATCCCTGATGCCCCAAATGACACTACCCATACAATCACTAGTCACAATGCATAGTTGCGCGAAGGCTAGCCCCAAGCATCTGGCTTCCAACCTTGAACAGACAGACATTGTATCATAATGATAAAGAGGGAACAATGATTGTAGCCAGTCTTCACGTAGCGAGGCGCCACTCACCTGTATGGTGAAGCCAAAAGAATTGTTCTCCTTCTCGACGATGATGGTGCGTCTCCGCCGGTCCTCCTCGGGGCGGGTGACGCACACGCGGTCGCCCACCATCCGCTCCAGGATCTGTGTCTGTCGGAGCACAGTATAGGTGTCACTATCTCTACACACCTTTACAACACGCTGTAGGTCGCTACACCTTATTACGGGATAATACAGGTCGCTACACCTTACTACGCGACAATACAGGTCGCTACACCTTACTACGCGACAATACAGGTCGCTACACCTTACCACGTGACAATACAGGTCGCTACACCTTATTACGCGATAATACAGGTCGCTACACCTTATTACGCGATAATACAGGTCGCTACACCTTATTACGCGATAATACAGGTCGCTACACCTTATTACGCGATAATACAGGTCGCTACACCTTATTACGCGATAATACAGGTCGCTACACCTTATTACGCGATAATACAGGTCGCTACACCTTACTACGCGACAATACAGGTCGCTACACCTTACTACGTGACAATACAGGTCGTTACACCTTACTACGCGACAATACAGGTCGCTACACCTTATTACGCGATAATACAGGTCGCTACACCTTATTACGCGATAATACAGGTCGCTACACCTTACCACGTGACAATACAGGTCGCTACACCTTATTACGCGATAATACAGGTCGCTACACCTTATTACGCGATAATACAGGTCGCTACACCTTATTACGCGATAATACAGGTCGCTACACCTTATTACGCGATAATACAGGTCGCTACACCTTACTACGTGACAATACAGGTCGTTACACCTTACTACGCGACAATACAGGTCGTTACACCTTACTACACGACACGTTACTACACGACACTACACTACACGACACTACACTACACGACACTACACTACATGTCAATATTTTAAGTTTCAATGAGATCCGCTCTGTCATGCCTGGTTTGCAGTGTTGTTAGGTCTGTGGCCCTCAACCGTTCCTGATACGCGAGTTGACTGTTATTGCCCGGTGTTGTACTTCAGAGCAGCTATATGTCCTTCTGAAGATGAGGTCTCCATGCTTGGATAAATGGGGGCGCACCAGAGATTTATAAAGTTGAACCATTACCTCATATTTTCCTTATAATCAATAGTACGCTTGATTATTCCAAGGGTTTGTGTAGCTTTTCTGACTGCTGCTCCAACCTGTTGTGCAACTTTTTGAGTGGTGGATTTTGACTTCAAGGTTATTATCTTGGGAACCTGGGGCTAGATTCACGAAGCAGTTACGCAAACACTTACGAACCTATACATCTTTCCCCAATCTTTGGCGGCTTTTTTTACAATTATTAAACAGTTAATGAGCTCCGAAGCACCAGGAGGCTGTTTATAACAATAACAATAGTTGATTGGGACGTTTTCATTCTTGTAAACTGTTTAATAAATGTAACTAAAGCCGTCACAGATTGGGTAAAGATGTACACGTTCGTAAGTACCTGCGTAACTGCTTCGTGAATCTGGCTCCTTGTCGTATGCCTCTCCAGTGATGTGCTGTTATGTAATGCTATTAATTTGGTGGTCGTGGCTTGGGTTGTTATGCCCCACATGCAGGGTCTTGCATTTGTCGATATTAAAATGCATTTGTGGGGTTCATGTAGATATCTATGTGAGATCATGATAAAAAAAATTGAGAAAGAGATGACGTGATTTGACGGTTGGCGAAAGTAAGTGTTAATGGGTGTGACAGTTGACAGGGTAATGTTGTTGTCGGGTAACGGTTCATGTGGGAGAGAGCTGATATAGGGAGGCAATCATTGACCAGGATTTCACTTGGCTGACTGAGGCTGACTGAGCCTAAGCCTTACGCTATTAGTTATTAACTGGAAAGATATACAACCAGGTTCCCAAATACTACTAGAGGTACTAAATAGAGGGAGTCTCTCTCTCTCTCTCTCTCTCTCTCTCTCTCTCTCTCTCTCTCTCTCTCTCTCTCTCTCTCTCTCTCTCTCTCTCTCTCTCTCTCTCTCTCTCTCTCTCTCTCTCTCTCTCTCTCTCTCTCTCTCTCTCTCTCTCTCTCCTCCCCCCCCCCTCCCCCCCCCCCCCCCCCCACTACTATCTTTAGAATCGAGCTATTAGCTCTTATACCCCGCCTTTCTAACCCATCTATTTTCCTCTATTACACCTACTATATATATATATATAATATATATACATATGCGAACAAGCCTGAATGGTCCCCAGGACTATATGCGACTGAAAACTGAAAATAAAATATATATTTCTATTACACATACACACACACATCTCCAGGAAGCAGCCCGTAGCAGCTGTCTTAACTCCCAGGTACATATTTACTACTAGGTGAACAGGTGCATCAGGGTGAAAGAAGCTCTGCCCATTTATTTCTGCCTCTACCGGGGATCGAACCCGGGCTCTTAGGACTATGAGCGCTATGCACTCAGCCGCGAGGCCCGTGTGTACTTACCTATTACTACTCACCGGTGTGTGTACTCACCTAATTGTGCTTGCGAGGGTTGAGCTTTGGCTCTTTGGTCCCGCCTCTCAACCGTCAATCAACTGATTTACAGATTCCATGTGTGTGTGTACTCTCCTAGTTGTGCTTGCGGGGGTTGAGCTTTAGCTCTTTGGTCCTGCCTCTCAACCGTCAATCAACATGTGCCTGAGCCTATTGGGCTCTATCATATCTACACTTGAAACTGTGTATTGAGTCAGCCTCTGTGTGCGTGCGTGCGTGGTGGGAGAGATGGGACAACGCGCCACACTCCGTCCCCCCCGACACCTGGGTGAGAAGGAAGGAGTGATAAGAGAAGCGTGGGAGGATGAGAGGGGAACAGAGAGAGGTACAAGAAGAGGAAGGAGAGGGTTGAGGTAGGTGAGAGTACTGGGGGGAGGAGGAAGCAGGGAGCGTGAAATAAGAGAGGTAAGTCAGCTGGTGTGGCGTATATACTTAAAACAATTTCAGCACTCACATAATAGCCGAAAAGATACAGTATTTAAAACTGTTGGTATACTCTCAAGAATCTGGTGCCAGATTCACGAACCAGTTACGCAAATACTTACGAACGTGTCCATCTTTCTACAATCTTTGACGGCTTTGGTTACATTTATTAAACAGTTTACATGAATGAAAACTTCCTAATCAACTGTTGTTATTATTATAAACAGCCTCCTGGTGCTTCGCAGCTCATCAGTTGTTTAATAAATGTAAACACAGCCGCCAAAGATTGAGAAAAGATGTACAGGTTCGTAAGTGCTTGCGAAATTGCTTCGTGAATCTGCCCCCCCCCCCTTGAGTCTATATTCCCACTCTGCTCACACTATACTACTGACTAATCTATCCCTGTCTCACTTAGGGTATCTGTGGACGGGCTTCAACCAAACACTCACAAGCCTATCATCACACAGCACAAATCAGCTATGAGAAGTCTAACACATTATATATGTGTTCAGACAAACAGCCTCTCTCTTCACATCCCTAAACACGCACTCTACACATTCTCACGAGATATTTACTTTACAAAGCCTTATTCTTAAATTATAATCCTGCTTTGAAACTCTTCCCAGATGGACGTAATAGAACCCCATGAGCATCACACCAGAGGTAAATATATCTGATATAACCAGTCAGACTGTACACATGTACCATGCACATATATGAGGATGAGGGGTAGAGGGCGGGAGGAGGGGAAGATGAGGGGTCATGTGCCTATAACGTACCTTTTACGGTCTGGTCGATAATAGTGAGTCACGGGAAGAAGAGGGAGGGAGGGAGGGAGGAGAGGTAGGGGGGGGGGGGGAAATGAAGTATGAGGAAGGGAAGGGAAAGGAGGAAGGGGAGATGGGACTGGGAAAGGAAGGGGTGTGACTGGGAAAATGAGGAGAGAGAGAGAAAGATGGAATAGGGGAGAAGAAACAAGAAATAAATGATGGGGGGAGAGAGAAGAGGAGAACAAGAGGAGCGGAAAGAGCGAGAGCGACGAGAAAACCCAAAAGAAGGAACAGAGATGGAGGCAGGACCGAGGAGAGGAGAGAAAGGTTAAGGGGAAGAAGGTGGATATTAAAGGTGGAGAAGGAAAGGGAGGTGGCTCTGGTAGGGGGTCAGTGCCCCCCGAGGAGTGGTCTTTAACCAGACCCCAGATGACTCACATGGTCAGTCAGGCTGTTTGTGCCCGCAGCTCGCACATCCACCTAGGTATGGCATCTGGCCTCATCATTCGGAGGTCAATTAAATAGGGTTTGAAATGATCATCTGGGATGATCAAGGCCTTCGTGAGCACATCTATGGGGTTGTCAGTAATGCCTATTGTCTTACATGTATAGAGAGGGAAGGAGCTGTAACGCCTGGGGTTGTTTAGAGTACTTACTGCAGTCTTAGTGGTGTTGGCGTTATTTAGTACACCTCGCCATGCCTCCTGCTCTCCTCACTCGTTACTTCATGTTGCACAGTTGCAACCAGTCTTTGGTAATAGTAGAACCACTTCCTCTTATGTCAAAACCAATCCCTCTAATATTAGAACCAGTCTCTCTAATATTAGAACCAGTCTCTCTAATATTAGAACCGGTCTCTCTAATATTAGAACCGGTCTCTCTAATATTAGAACCGGTCTCTCTAATATTAGAACCAGTCTCTCTAATATTAGAACCAGTCTCTCTAATATTAGAACCAGGCGCTCTTAACATTTGTCAAGTTAAGATTATGATGTATCTCTCTGGCCAGCGTTACAGAGAATAGCAGTTGAGATAATTTTGTGTGTTCCAATAATTTAAATGATTTCTTGAATGGCTTTGAGCAGCCAATGTTCTTGTCATATAGTCCATGTCAGCCACTGTGCCAGCTTTAAGTGAGGCTGGTAGAACAGAAAAGAAACTAACTGCCTTAAGGTGAATCTCATACCGTAACACAAATAATTTTTCCATCAGTGATAATATCATTTTGGAGCGATGCGGGGACTTGAAGCATTGTTCTGGTGACTCTCAGCCTTAACCAACTCGGCCGCGATCACTCAAAAGTTATTCAACTCGGACCTCCAGTGAATTCATTGGGGAATCTGGAGGTCCCAACTGGTGCCTACTCAGGCACCAACTGCCTGAGTAATTGGTGC